CCACGAGAATAGGCTACTAATGGAACCGCAAACGAATCGAAATTAAAACGCGATTCGTTGAATTCATTACGATTCCCTTATCTAATCGCAAACGCCTGGTTAAACGGAAAGATGTGCGGTTAGAAATGTCGATGGACTCAATCAACAGCGCTGACAAAGAGCATCTGGTTCATACGCTTACAACGCCGTGCAACAATTGCATCGCCTCGGCTCGCGCCTGCAGCTTGTACCGGGATGAGCAACACACGATGTCTGAAAGCGTAAATATAACGGCGGTTCTGCTGTTAGCTGTACACACACAAACGCACACGGAGCTGCCTTACCGTATTCTCCGCGCGAGCATGATTGCTGATTCGAATTGTTCTCGTGCTGCCCTTGCTCGTTGAGATGAGGGAGGAGGCTCAGACTGTGCTTCAGACACAGGCGCGAGACAGAGAGCTTGTGGGCACGTGACACACTACTGACATAGCATCTCTGCGCCTCGTCAACGCAATGTTGTGCATGCCATCGCAACCCAAAACCACCAAGAGGCTGCTGGAGATGCTTTCACATGAATCACACGGTGGAAGATAGCACACCCGAATTACTCCCGGGTGGATTGCTGGTAATCTTAACCTAAACAGAGTCACAAAGTGCACATCAAAGATCACACTTGTGATTCTACAGCAGTGGTTTTCAGTCCTGGTCCTGGAGGAGCATTGCATGTGTTGGATGTCTCTCTTATATGACACCCAGTTCAGGTCTCAGAGGATCTACAAATGAGCAGATGACATAATTTAGGTGTTTTATATAAGTGATCATTTGTATTGGTCTGTGCTATATATTATGCAAGAAGCAGAAGGTCAAATGGGTGTCCAAATATGCATTATTTATAAAACAGTAGGCAAGCAATACCCCGATGATCTACTGCATCCGCTGAGATTCTGTGCTAGTCCATAAATCCAGGGGATCTGAAAAGCATCAGATTTAAAAATTTGAAAGTGGCCGGAAAAATGTGTGGCTCTTTTCCATAACAGTACAATTTTATCTTATGATCCTCTTCAATAGTTTTTATATGAAAAACACAAACAAACAAACAAAAAGCAAGCATTATGACATTTCAATTGACATAGATGCCTACACACAGAGTACCAAGATGAACGTTAAATCACATAAAAAGAGTACAGATTAAAAATCTGCAACCTAAATGTTAGAGGAAGTAGCCCAGCCCCAGACTTTATTATTTTAAAATTTATTAGAGGACTTAGATGTGACTAAAACTTAATTGATCTTATGTCTGTTCAAATGGCTTTTTTTTTTTTTTTTTTTAAAAAATATACAAAACTATACAATAAAAAATAGAGGCATACACTGTAAAAAAATTGCCTATTTATTAAAAAAAATAGTTTTATGGATTTAACTTAAATTTACGTTTTTTAACTGATACCAACCAACTGAAGTGCTATGTTTTAAATCTTTGTAATATACTGACAATCACCAAAAAAAACACAGGTGGTAATGAGAAAACCACATGAAGATCCAAGCTTATCAAAAGTTGCTTTTCCACAAACTGAGATTAGTACCAACATACTGAAGGTACACCGTGTCATGCACACAAATATTAAGCACCATAATGGTAATACACTTGACACTAAAATAATGCAATAAACATTAATTTATCAACATAAAATATGACATATAACCCTAATGTACATAACTGATAAGAAAAAAACTGCTAAGAAAGTTCTCTTAACAAAAGTTCTGAAATCACAGGGAATTCTGGGAATGTCAATTATATGACTTGCTCTTTTTCACTTTCAAAAACTTGTATGTGTCGTCAGTTTGAAATCATAAAAACTAAGAACTCTATACAAACCCTCAGTGTAGGAATTGCGCATAAGTCTACACTCAGCATCAGATGGTTGCAGTGACATGTATCTCTCTCTCATTGCTTTGCTCTGTAAATTCCTCCTCTCACCCAGCATCTCCTGTCCCAGAAACCCTCTCTAATTTCTGCTCAGTCTGTCTCATACTGACAGACTGTAATCTGCAGACGCCTTGTATTTGTGCTAATAAAGAATAAGAGGGAAAAATATATAGAAATACAATTCAAGGACAGCATGCCTTCACTCACTACCTGCCAAAATATTGTATGAGGTAAAATGAGTGGTAAACCTGCCTCTTCAACTTGTCTCTTTTTATCCCATTCGCACTATTGCTATATATATTCAGCAGTTTTTTTTAAGTGAAGTGAAGTAAGATATCAATGATAATGGCAAACAATATTCAGCATAATATGTATACAGGAACACATTTCTGGATTGGTGTTGGAGCATTTGAGCCTTACTGATGGGGATGTGGAGGTACAAAAGACCAAAAAGGTTGGGAAACACTGCAATAAAGCACTCTAAACTGAAACTGAAACCGAGAATCCCACAGTGAAGCAGTTCTCAGGATTTCATTTATCATTAATGAGATTTACACTCTCTCTGAGAATTAAGTTTCTTAGGTTTCAAATCTCACACATCAGAGCAAATGAGAATATTTAGCCCACACGGGTTTTTACAGTACACGTGCCATCTTAGGTTGCTTGTTTTCCGTTGTGTGCAATGTGCATACGTGTGCATGTTTGTGAATTTGATTTAGATTATTTGGGGGAGTTTTTTACCTCATCGTTGGCGTTTTTTTTAGTCTCTTTTGTGCAGTGGGAGTATCTGACTGCTCTCTGCTGAATTCAGATGCTTTTTACAGAGCTAGTCAAGATGGCTGCTGAAACACACACACATACACACACACACACACACACACACACACACACACACACACACACACACACACACACACACACACACACACACACACAAAAGACCAGAGCTCTAAAATTATCCCATCTGTCCACAAAGGTGTAAATTCACATTGTTAAACTCAAAAACCGCCGAAAAGCTCTGCTTAAATACACTGCTTTATGGGACACTCTAAGGTGACCCCCGTACCACAGTGCATTATGGGAACATACCTGTAAATCAAAACACAATCATGAATCTGTTTGTCTTTCTGCTTATCCAGTCACCCATGTCATTTCAAATCCAGTCCCAATTCTCTTTTGGGACAAATCAGTTAGATGCAGGCCTACTTAATTGCTCTTTCTATGAACACAGCCTAAGATTAAGGCTATAAATCTTTATGATTCATAAGCCATAAATTTAAGTGCTTATGACGTCAAGCAGCTAGGAGAGATGCTGTTAGTCTCAGAAAGACAGAGAGCGGTCATAGTTCAGTTTAGAGAGCCTGTGCCACCACCATCTGACATACACTTCCCTCGGGACGGCAGGATCCTATGGCTACAGAAAGAGAGAGAGAGAGATTGAGCAAAGCGAGGATGAAAAAGACAAACCGATCAATAAAAGTGAAGTAACATCAAAAATGACCTGACTGTGGAGTTAGGCTCTTGGAAAGTCAGAGCAGACAGCATCTTCTCGTTGTCAGAGATTGGAGGAACAGCGGAGCCAGGGGAGTTGAAGAGACAGTGGGGAGAGAAAGAAAAGAGAGCATCTTTGTCAGGGTGACAGGGGTTGAATAATTCAGTCTATGTCCAGCTGCTGCGTTAAATCATCATGTTTTATTCATCTGCAAGTTTCAAAAACCTGACATTCAAATACATTAGGACAATAAGTCCTAATGTGAACACACACATCTGGAGCAGAATTAACTTTTGGTGTGCAGTTCCTAATGTGAAAAGCACATGAAGTGCAATACACTTGCAGCATATTTCAACCCCTTAATTACATTTTTATAATGCTTTTCACAAACGTTTCGGTTAAGAAATTGTCTGACAAGCTCAGGATTCAAAAATACAGTATACACTGAAAATATGGGATTCGAGATGTAGTTAAAAATGTTAAAATAATTAAAACAGAAATGTTAGGATAAGAAATACACTTCCCTTCAAAAGGCTGGAGTTAGTTTATTTGCATTTATTTGAACAAAAATATATAGCAAAAACATAAATATAGTGAAATATTACAATTTTCTTTATGAATATATTTTCAAATCTAATTTCCTGTAATGGCAAAGCTGAATTTTCAGCTTTATTCTCCAGTCTTCAGTAAAAATCATTTTAATTTGCTGATTTGATGCTCAAGAAACATTTCTTATTATTATCAACATCGAAAACATTGCTGCTTAATATGTTTGGAAACATTACATTTACATTTAGACATTTAGCAGATGCTTTTATCCAAAGCGACTTACATGAGGACAATCAAAATCAACAAAAGAGCAATGATATACAAGTGCTGTAACAAGTCTCAGTTAGCTTAATGCAGTACACGTAGCAAGGTTTTTTTTAAACTATATAATAAATAAAAAGAAAACAGATAGAATAGAAAAAGAATAGAGCAAGCTAGTGTTAGAGGCCTAGAGGAAACCATGATACATCTTTTCAGGATTTTGTGATTAATAGAAAGTTCAAAAGAACAGCATTTATTTAAAAATGTAACATGCTTTTGTAGCATTATAAATGGTTTTTACTGGCACTTGCTGAAAAAAGTATGAATTTCTTTAAAATAAATCTTACTCTCCCCCAAGCTTTTGAATGGTAGTGTATTTATGACTTATTTCGAAGTCAATAAATAATCAAATTTTTGTAATTTCTTTAAAATAAATCTTACTCTCCCCCAAGCTTTTGAATGGTACTGTATTTATGACTTATTTCGAAGTCAATAAATAATCAAATTTTTGTTCTTGTTAGATATTCTTGCTTCCATTGAAACACAAGATGCTCTTCGGCTTATCTCAAATCATAACATTGCTACAGAATGAATATCATCATCAAGTTTTCCATAAACTTGTGGAGTTCATGCAGCTTGAGACACACAACCAAGACATGTATGTTAATATTTCAACTCAACTTTTCACTCAATTTTTTATGCTGATAATATAATTAATAAAGAAAAATGTTGTATTACATTAGAAAAGCAAAATATAAACCAAGACTATTGCCCCCCACCCCTTTTTTTTGAATCTGGTTAGCCTGCAAGTCATTAATTAAAATCATCTCTAAATAATGCTTTTTCATGTGTAATGGGTTTACTCTATTCTCTGAAGTGTCTCTAAAATGGCTTTCATAAGATTTAGTCTAGCACAGCACAGGGGTGTTTAAATGTCAGCAGCAATGTAAATTACTCATCTGCTGACAGGAGTTTTATATAAAAATTAAAATGAAACCTGCACAGCGCATCTGCACATACTGATAATTCACTTGTACACACATAAAGCAGCATGGGAAAGGACACAGACACAATACTGAAGAATAACACTCAAACACTGAGGAAAGCTGTGTACCTGCTGACCCTGAGTGTGAGCTGTATTAGCCAACGTAAACATAAACACCGATCTTGAATAATAATCACTAGCCATGTGCAAGTGACCAGAATCTTAGTTTAATTTTAGTTTTTGAAAGAGGTCTCCAAGGCTGCTGTCTTTACTTTCTTTTTTATCAAATACATGCCGATAAAAAAGAAAAGTAAAAAAAGCAGTATTGTGAAATATTATTACAATTTAAAATAACTTTTCTATTTTAATATATTTCAAAATGTATTTTTTTTATGGCAAAGCTGAATTTTCAGCAGCCATTACTCCAGTCTTCAGTATCACATGATCCTTAAGAAATAATTAAAATATGCTAATTTCAGGACATTTCACGATTCTTTGATAAATAGAAAAAAACATTATTGACCCAAAAACTTTTGAACATAGTTTATGTAATACCTGGAGAAATATCTCAATGGGAGTTGCTTGGCAGGTGCAGGACCTCTTTTTTCTGACTCAAAATGATGTAGTTATGCCATCCACCATGACATCCATCAGGTGACAACACATGTAAGGCTGTCCACAGTGGCATTGAAGCTGTTGGTCACCTCAGAATGTTTATTAACTAAACATAACCAGCCTTGACAGTTTATTTTAAGACAGAAATTCACTGTAAACTGAAATGAGCTGGATGATCACACTGTTGTCTTATGTTGAGCTGCTTTATAGCTGATCCAATTTCGTTTCATAATTAATGAATTTAGCAACATTGACAATTGTAATTGAACTAAACCGAATTAACATTCAACTGATAGTATTACCTTCCATAGAGCTAGCTGAATTGAACTTGTTTAATAATTGATTAACTTTACACAGCTATTGACCTCTAATAGAATATAATAAAACTGTATGATAAAATACACCATTGGCTTTTTAAGAGTTACTTTACAGCAGAATTTGAATTTGTCTCATATTTGAAGAACCACTGCACCATTGATTCTTAATAACACTGTGAAGCTGCTTTGAAACAATCTGTATTGCATAAAGCACTATAGAAATAAAGGTGGTGACTATGTATGGCCTGTTTTAGAAAGACAAAATAATTGTACACAATTTTATTTTAATGACTACTTGTAGTAGAAACAAATGATGATTTAAAATAGTAGGTCAGAGGCCAGAAACATCACAAGCTGTGAACATATAACAACTAAAATTCATAACAATAAATTTTACACATTTGATATTCATAAATAAAATAATTTCAAGGAAAAATAATTTGTGCAGCACATTGAAAATAGAAAGAGTGTCTATCAACTGAATAAAAACAACAACAAAACAAAACAGGAATTTCCATTGCGGACAGCTTCATTGATTATAATGGGAGCAATTTAGTTTTGTCCTGACATGATGCCCACATCCGGAGTAGACACAGCATTAGAGACACCTCCTCTTTATATCAGACAGACATGACTGTAAGTCAATAAATGAGTATCTGTGTGTGCGTGTGTGTAATAGAGAGAGAGAGAACACACTGAAAGTGAAAGATGTGTAGCAATGAAATATTCAGCAAGCTTTAATAAGACTGACAATTACTCATCTGCTTAACTATACGTCTAATGAAGAGAACTAAATATATCTCACATTATTTCATCACACACACACTTCCACAAGCTCAGCAGAGTGTGATTATGCTTATTCTCTCTTGCTGTGTCATATCATAGCATATTCTCTCTCTGTCTCGCTCACATAAGTGGAGGCACTTCTGGATCGTCCACGAAGTCCTTTGACACAGGCCTCTCCTCGACGCCACAGCGCTGGGGATGCTGAGAGAGCTGCAGGGGCTTGTGGGAAGACTCATTTCCTTTGGGAACAATGTTGGCCAGACTCCCAACCAGACCGGGATCCACCTCCAATAATTCACGCCCTGGCGCTGGCCTGCAGAGAGACAGACCTGACTGAGATTGCTGTTTTGTTGCGTTTTAAGAATTTATTAGTCTATAACTCTAGTCTAACTGTTCAGTCAGCACAATCTCTGCAAAATCAAAGTCCGTTTCTCCCACCTGCTCTTTGCCAAATCACATCCACCACAAAGACGCACCCTACATGACACATTTGACTCTATTTACTTTCTGAATAAATCTTACTGTGTTCTTACTGTGCATGATTCATCTGTGTACCTTATTATAAAGAAAACCCTAGTCCTAACCCTAACCAAATAGTAAGTACATGTAGTTAATTATTATTACTCAGTACTTAAATGTATAATTTCACTGTATCAAGGAAACCTTAAAAAGTAACCCAGAATTAAAATTTTTGGATAGACTGTCCTTCTAATCTTTAAACATTTAAAATACTTTTCATACATAACATGCAGTATGGGCAGGAAAAAATAATAAATATGGAATTTTACAGTCAGCTGGTCATTACCACAAAATATAGCCCTATTTGGACGGTAATTGTTTCTCAGGGGGATGTAAGTGATTTTCACCATTTACAGGGGGTAGTTGGTGATTTTAATGCCGTCCGAATCCAGGATGTCGGTGTTTTTCTCTCACCACCCCCGTAAAAATCCCCGGCCGAATTACCTACTGTTTTTTGACAAACACCAAGGTCTTGTGGTAATTTAATTGCCGTCCGAATCCACATCTCTGAGTTTACGAGAAGAAATTGATTGAAAATTCAGTGTTTAAACCCTTTTTGAGCACTCCCGAACACCGTAAGGTAACGTTGTAGCCTACTTCAGTGTAATTTGCATACATATTTATTTCTGAAATTCTGGAAAGTATTTAAAATAACAATACTTCATAACTGCTCCACCACAGCGACTGGGAGCAGAAAGAGAAGAAAAGCACGTAAACATTCTGAAATGGGTCTTTATTATGGCAGCAGCAGGTATGCAATACAATTTTAAAATGTGTAGTATAAACAGATATATATCACGTATAATTATGTACAACTATAGCGCGTCTATTTTCCTATTTTTAAACAGGAGATTTAAATAATCAAATAATAAATATGATTATATATGATAAAATATGCTTGGAATAATAAGAATACATTTTACATAATAAGTATTTTTAAATACATTTTACACAATAATAAGAATACATTTGTAAATAAAATTAATTTTATTTACAGCAGACAATCATGTGACTGGCCACGTGAGCAGCACGTTCCCAGGTTCGTAGGATCACAGAACTCGCTCCTCCACTGTGAATAAATCGCCATCCAAATCCATGAGTTTTATCACCGAGGTGATATGTAAATTAATTTTTACAGACGTCCATATGAGAAACAATTACCATCCCAATCGGGCTAAAGACAATGTGATCAGGACCTCAAGGTTATCTTGTATCACCCTAAAGGGATTTATTCTGCGGTAACAACTGATGCACTGCAAATCATCCTGTGTAAATAATAATAAATAAATATAGGTTCCTGAAATATTGATCTAAGTTAAAATTATTTCATTATTTGAAAATACAGAGACAGTAGAGTGATACAATGAGAGACATAAAACTATCACAGCTATGTGCAATAGGAACTGGCCAGGGCTGTGTTTCCCAAAAGTATTGTAAGCATAAGTAGATCGTACAACCACTGCCACCAATGCTTTTGGGAAATGCAGCCCAGGACAATGGTCAGTTATACAGTTTAGTGGTCATTATACAGGAAAGCAACATTTAATAACTATTTATTACCATTTGTGCAGTCTTTATGATTCATTCAAATCCAATTAAATACATAAAAATCCTGCTATTATTTTTTGCTAAGTATTCTATTTCCCTTAGAAATGCATCATGTAGTAAAAATGTAAATGCACTAAGAATGCTGTTTTCATTAAATCTAATATGTAACCAGACCAGTGGTTCTCGAACGGGGGGGGGGATGACTTTAAATTATTATTATTATCTAACTAATAATTATTATCTAATCATTCATAGGGTCAGAAAGCTCTTGGATTTCATCAAAAATATCTGAATTTTTGTTCCGAAGATGAACAAAGGTCTTACGAGAATTTTCATTTTTGGGTGATCTATCCCTTTAAATGATAACTAACTGTGATTAATTCCCATTAAACAATGTTACCTAATCTGTTACCTAAAAGAGCTATTCTCCTGTACACAATTACAGTACAACGTCACAAAATAGAAGTTAATCACGTATGTGCAATAGAACTTTTTTTCTTTTGCAGAATGCCACTGTCATTCCATCAGCAGCTGTTTGCTTAAAGTCCCTAATTAATTGATTTAATGCCTCATTATGGATCCTCGGTGCAGATTAAGAGAGTAAAAGCGAATGGAAAGCATGTTTAGTCATTGCTTGACAAGCACTAAGCAGTGAGGTAAGCTGATTATGTCCATTAATCCACTACTGCTCTCCACAATCATCATGTTGTACCGCAGGCCTCCCCAACAGAACAGTGTTGCGGGCGCCGCAGCTTTCTGCCTCTTACACAGAAACACAAATCCCAGTATGATGGCCAGCCCCACCTATCTTGATAGCAGATAAATCAGCCCTAAATTCCTGTAGACTAAAACCAAAAGGCTTGTGACTTCAACACACAGTAGGGCTTTATTTAGACTTTGTGCTAGGACGGGAATCTAATGATTTCTGGTGAACCCTTTGACTACACAATAACACTAATAATACATAGCATATTATTTATAGTACAGTATTAGAGTCACTCTTTTTATCTCCGCTTCCGTCTCTCTCATGCTTTAAGAATGAATCACTAAAAATTTAATTAGTGCGGCAGCTGAAACCTGATTGGACTCTGAATTACCGACAGCGTGTGATTATACTGTACTTTCCGAGCCAATCAGTGCCTCAGCGGGTACGTTATCACACACACAGATTTACAGAAAGTGCTCTGATTTCCTCAGGGGCAGGTACACAAACGCAGGTGCGTTATTGTGTGTTGGACCCGAGGGTCTCAGTAAATAATAACACAAGCGTGCATGTGTGTGTGTATATAAGAGCAAGAGCATCTGACCTCCCAGCGTGTCAGGAGGTCAGGAGTAATCAGGTTCAGATGATGTCATCCATCAGGATGGAGTCAGGGCAGAAGAGTGTGTGTTTGTGAGCAGAATGACAGTAACTGGTTTATTTGCATCTTATTTGCATTTTTATTAGGTATTTAATGTTATACCCCAGTGTTCACTTACTATGCTGATAAACCGACTGAAGGACACACACAGACACACAGTCGCACAATGGAATAAAACCTTAGAGTCAACAAACTAATTCCACAGTCACACGGGTTAATGCAAACATGCATTAAGACCCATTAGAGGTGCCTGCACACACACAAGGGATCTTGTTCAGTGTGGAAGTCACCGCATAAGACCTCCCGCTGTAAATTGCAGAGAGAAAACGAGAGAAAGGGAGAGAGGTATATAAAGAGAGATCAATTATAAAGCAGATAAGCTTGTATATACTGTATATACTGCAATTTAGTCTTTTAGCAAACTTAGCTCCAAAGCCACTTCCCTAATAAGAAGCTCAGCGTCCCTGGAGTGACCTGCAGTTGAGTGTTTTGCTCAAGGACACAACTTCGATTTTTGTCATCTTGAATGGATAGTTCACCCAGAAATTAAAGTACTGTCACCATCTTACTCACCCTCATGTCACTTGAATGCCAGATTTTTATTTTTTCTTGGAATACAAAAGATATTTAGCAGAATTCTGATTTGTATATTTGTGAAGCAGGATTTAAAACTAACCCAGACCCTGACCAAGGCCACATTTATAAGTGGTATCAGGAGGATCATAATAACACTGTTAAGACATGAACAAATGTTGACATAGGCAGGCAGCTGAACTGAATTACCTGGTCTCTGTCCTGGTATTCTGGTTACTGGTAACACTGGTCAGCCTGGCAGTAGGTTTCTTTGGTTTAATCTCTCCAATTGCCTCCAAAAAACACAAATATAACAGAATGGGTTTTAAAGGGCAGGTTTTACACAGTCTAGATTTGTGTACAAAAAGTTATCCTTGAAAAAAAATCGCAAATTAATTGATAATTCTACTACATTTTCAGAAAGCAATTAGCCAGCATATTTAGTTTGTTAGGTTCCCATTCCAGTTTCACTGCACTTCAAGTAGGTAATTGACATACATAAACACTTTTTTTTTTAAACGATTAAATGAAAATGTAAACTATATTATTTTAGTTATTATTTTTAATTATAATCATATTTCACAATATTACTATTTTGCTGTATTTTTGCTCAAATGTAGCTGTGGTGAGCACAAAAGAATTTAAAAATGATTAAAAATCTTACCAACCTCAATTTTTTTTGAACAGCAGTGCACATAAATGTATAAGAAAATTATATTTTAAGTGTTGTAAATGCCCACCATTTCTTTCACATTTAGCGTAATTTTCAATCATATTTTTTACTTCAATAATTTATTTTTAAATGTCTGGCGGCATGGCAAATTAATTGTTTAAATATACAAGTTTCCTTGCAGCATTATTAAAATCAGATCATAAAAGCCTACGCATAAAAAATAAGAAAATACTTTTTAAAATAATTTTAGGTGAAGCACAGCATGTCAGACTGCAGGACTTTCAGAAAGCACTTCACATACATTATGGCAGTTATTTTTGAAGGGAATGATTTTACCAGATATTCTCTTGTTGACATTCATGCTGCACATACTGACAATTAATCAGCAAAATCAGTGATTTTATTTGTCAAATGCAAGCTGATATTTTACCTTTTTTGAGTTTGGTTTCATTACACATCATGGTCAATGTGGGAATAAACCCCATATATACTGTATGAAAACTGGAATGAAAACTATGTTCAAAGACATCAGTAGGGTGTTTGAAAGGTGTGTTTCAGGTGTAGTGAGCTGTACCAGAGGCAAGATGAGGAGCAGGTGGCCGGTGGTTTGGGATCTCTGTGCTGTGCTGCTGTCGGGTTTCACTTCTGCAGGCAAAACCAGCTGGAACACCTGCGCACACACACACACACACACACACACACACACACACACACAGTGAGGACATCTGCTCACACCACACATTTTATTAATGTGGGGTTTCAAGCACTTGCCACTGTAAAAGTGATCTACATTATCACTAGTCATAAACACATATCCATCAATACTGAGATCAGGCACACACACATGCACGAACGTCTGTGCTGTGGTGACTCTGGTAAGGCGAGAACCGTTACTTGTGCTGGTCTGCGGCAGATTTGTGAGGAAATGAGGCAGAATAAAGAGTGTAGATTTACTGCTAGGTAATCAGTTTTAAAGGTCAATCTCATCAGATGAGAGAGAGAGAGATGGAAAGAGAGAGAGAGATGGATAGTCTACCTTTCCTTTGACGGTCACTCTCACATATGTTGGCTGAACATCCACATCCAGCAGTGAAGTGTCCATATGCCTACGGCACAAAAGAGACCAATGTGAGAGTGGATGCTGTTAGGAGAAAAGTTACTAAATGACATCCAAATACACTCGAAGTTTACCCAAAGACAGAAAGAAAGTATACTGCTAAATCATGACTTGATCATTTTGTGCCGAGGACAAGAGCCAGCGTGAGTGTGTCTGTACCTGTAAACATGTAAATCCAAAAGCATGCAGTTGTTCTCATCCTCAGTGAGATTGAAGTCCAACCTTTGAGACAGAGATCACATGAAATAAATATTTTTAACTCAAGCTGGTACTGTAGTGTTTGAGTATGTATCATTTGTTTCATTGGTTGGAGTGAGGCACTGTTGATGTATGATATATACTGTATCTCTCCTGTGACCTAGTTTAGCCATCTTACCTTTTGTTGATTTCCTGTTTCTCACTATAAATAGATTCATGTTATCACTTGTGCTAATATGACTGTCTTGCTAGCCTTAGTCTCATGTAGCCAGACTTTTCACTGTTGGCATAAATTCTGGTCCACTTTGCACATTATTCTGCCCATACTCTCAGAAAAAAAGGTACAACTGTCACTCGGCGGTACCCCCTCAAAAGGAACAAATATGTACACATTAGGTACTATTATGTACCTTGAAGGTACTAAGATGTACCATTTAGGGGTAAATAGGGTACAGAGATGTACCATTTAGTTTTTCTGTTTACTTGTGTTTATTCTAGTTTACTGGTCCAGTGACAGCTTTGTATCTTTTTTGGATAAGTCCATTTGTTTGCATTAAATTTTGAGCTCATGCCTGTTTTTGGACATTTGCATTTTGGATTTTCACTATGAATTTTTAGGTTTTCCATTGTTCCTTTTGGATTGTGGATTCTGGGCTTGTCTTTTTCGTTACAATGTGAGAGCTGGCTTCAGTCTGACTGACTGCAACTCAATTTATTGTAGCCAGGGTTTTTTTGTCTGTCAACCACAACACAAAATCATGTTCATAAGGTATCAAATATTGCCTTAGAGTTTGTGACTAACAAGGTTTGTGGGAACAGAACAACAGAACAATATCCCTTGCTTTTGTTTGAGAAAATAAGCAGCAAGTAAAAGAAAATATGCTTTGGCTGCTTTCTGTCAGATAATTTCTTCTAAAGTGGGGGTGGTCCTTAGCTAGAATAATCTGCAAAGTGGACTGGACTGACATACTGTATTGGCTACACAGGAGTAGTGTGTGTGTATGTGTGTTTTTGTGCATGTACTTGGGCTCGTTGATGTTCAGCACTCGTCCATCTGCAGTGATCAGAGTTCTGAGGGTTTTGTTTTTAGGCTTATCTCTGTAGAAACACAGAATTGACTGCTGTAAGTAAAGCTGTTTACAGGAAAAACATGCAAAAGCTTAATGTCTTTCTCTCCTTTATCTCATAAAAATGTAAAGATTGAGAAATGGGCATCACAGGGATATTTAGATGTAGATACCATTACAGTGATTTCAGTCCTCTTTTTCTTAGTTGGCCAGTACCTCTCTTTTTCTTTGGCCCTCCTCTTGTCCTCCAGATGGCGATGGGCCTCTAGTCTGGATTCTGGTGTGAATGGGCACGGCTTTTCCCAAAATTCCTTCTCTTTATCCTCGGTGTCTGTGTGAGCCTTGGAGCTTGATTCTGGATTCTGATGGGTCCCATTTTGGTTCTCAGAGAGCAATCTGTGTGAAATAATCATCACAGTTAAGGCTTATCAAAGGAAAAATGCACAGGTCTGGTTTAAAGCTGATAACCCTCTTTTTTTACGATACACCATATTATGTTCATATTCACAGAAATTTCTTCCAAATAAATTATATTATGAGGAATGTTCTGTGAATGTAGCTTTTCAAGAACCTTCAAAAAGCTTTTCAAAAGGGAGTTTTGGGGTGAATCAGTATAAAACCTGTGTGTAAAACCTGTGTAAAAAGGATCAATTTCAGGGTACAATCTGTTAAATTTCATCTAATGCAACCCAAATTGTCTTTTAGCTCTCTTAATTCAGTTACTCAAACTTCAGTTACCTTAAAGACACTCACTGATTTATTTGAAGATCCTCCTGCTTTTCTGTTGTCTCCTTTAAACCACTCCTTTTCTGTTCCTTTCTTTTCTCTACATAATCCGCCTCCTGTTCTAAAACACGTCTCCTCACAGCATCCAGTTCCTGCTGGGCCTGAATACGCTCACCTCGCCCGATTTCTTTCCCATCCAACCACTGCAAAGCACAAAAGACAATCGTTCATAAATAGCGCAAGGCTAAAAATGTCTCTCTATGTGTGTCTCAGTGCAGTACCTGTAGTTGAGGCAGAAATGCCACCACATACTGTCTGTATCCGTGAAATTCAGTACAGGGGTTTCCCACCAGGTAGAGCTCTCTGAGATGAAGGTTCTGCTTCAGAGACTCCACACTGCTCAGCTTACCCACAAAATTCACTGTCAGGTCTAGTTTCTGTAAGCTTTCACAGCCTACACACAAATACACACATATATATTACAGTTCCATGCATACACATGTACTGATAGACACAAAAATCAAGCCTGATTAGAGCTGTAATACAGTATATTTGCAACAAAATAACAAAATACCTATATTACACCACACTTTTCAGGCAAAACATTTCACAAAAAGAGAGCTATTAATTTTCAAATGGTGAACACATATACTGGTAAAATTAAGCATTTGAACATTTTCTAGTTGTCATAATTGAATCTTGTACATAATTCATATCATAAACTACACTTGTGGTTGCTCTACTAGGACACTCTTGTGAATTTGAGGAGAACGTCATATTTGCTAAAAACAATGTTTGGGACCAATTGGTTAAAAGATAATTAAATGGCTCAAAAAAATCTAATTATTTCTGAGTAGGGTCATTATAATTAAACTAAAACCATATAAAAAACATTTTTGTTACTTGAAATAAAATAAACTTTAACGTAAATAAAATAAAATATTACGAAAGAAAAAAAAACTTTCCAGGAAAACATCTCTCATTTTTGTTTAGTTTAACTTGATGTACTAAAAAAAAACTCAAGCTAAAACTGAAACAAAAATTACTAAAAACCATATAGACATGTTTAAAAAAAAACCGAATGCATAGAAATTCACAAAATTACTAAAACATACCAAATTCACAATAATAATAAAACTGCAACAGTATCTAATTGATACTATAATAACTGGTAATATAAACATTTATAATATAATATCTGGTTCTGAGAAAAGGTTTATCACAATTTGTTTGCCGATACCACTTGCTTTACTTTTCTGTTTTTTTCTTATATACTTATGTTTAATTTTATCCAAAGCAAGTTACAAAAGAGGGGCATCACAGGCAATTTAGCATAAAAAATAAACAATAATATATTTATATATCATATATATATACTTTTACACAAAAAGTTTAAGAAATAAAAAAAAAAAAACGGAAAATATGTTGGTAATATGTTCATATGCAATGCACAAATGAAAAACAATGTATTAATACAATCACCTTCTAAATTCTCGATGAATTCTATGTTGTTCAGAGCCAGATTTAGATACTCCAGCTTCTTTAGTCTGCCCACATTTTCTGCATAAACATATATATCATATATATACTTTTACACAAAAAGTTTAAGAAATTAAAAAAAAAAACTGAAAATATGTTGGTAATATGTTCATATGCAATGCACAAATGAAAAACAATATATTAATACAATCACCTTCTAAATTCTCGATGAATTCTATGTTGTTCAGAGCCAGATTTAGATACTCCAGCTTCTTTAGTCTGCCCACATTTTCTGCATAAACAGAGTTAAAAGCAATATAAATGGCCATGCATTTATTTATTTATTCCACTGATATGCACAGGAATGTCTGCTTACCTATCTTAGGGATGAGGTTGTTCTGTAAGTAGAGGATTTTGAGGTCTCTGCACCACTTGTCGATATGCTCGATCCTCTCGATGTCCTGCTGATGGAGGGTAACCTCCTCCAGGGAGAAGATCTCGCCATTATTGTGTTCTGCTCTGCGGCGGATCAGATCCTCGCTGACTGATCACAAAGCGAAGGAGAGAGAGGATTAGTTTACCACCAGCTAAACCGCGAAAACATTTTATACTTTTTACATAAAACTGTTTATTTGGGAAGAATTGTCATTTATTTAAAGAGGCATATAATACAATAACCGCTTTATTATAGGAATACATTAAAATTGTTTTTATATTAGGACTAAAACACTTACTGCGGACCATGACTTGCTCGCGCCAGTGTGTTATGCGTTGCTATAGAAACGGGCACGCTGCAGAAGCTCGTGCTTGTGTTTTCTTTAGGCCTTTCCTTTGAACATTCATTCCAGCGGAGCAAAACACCAGAACTGGAAAATAATTCGGTATTTATTTCGACAAGAACAATCTTAATGTTAACTAGCACGATGTAATCATGACACACGAATTAACAACCAGTAAAGCGGCTTTTTATCAACAAAACAGAGGCATATTTGCGCTCTAGCTGCTCCGTTTACATTCAAGTAGCAACTCTGCCACCTAGCGGTCAGTGTGAACAATAACAGTCAAAGAAACACGATGCATATTGATTTTGGAGATGCTGAGTGAAGAAGGATAGGATTGGATTGGGGGAACTGCATGTAAAATACAGTTAACCATTAAAAGTTATTTTAAAATATGTCTAAAAACTTACAGAATTGGCTGTCAATTCCTATAATATTTTGGAACATTATATATATATTTGTTAAATAAATGTTTTTATAGTTTTCAAAATATTTAGAGTCCCATAATTAATGTTAAAAATACTATATATAGTTGATATACAACATTACATGAGCAGTAAATGTTATGTGTAACATTGTTCAAAATAAATTACTGTTAAATTCATGCTAAGATTGGGACATGTCACCATTGGTTGTTGCGCCAGCATATTTGCATTTATTTGCATAATTTATATATCGGGGTGGAGCTATGAGATCAACAGCACATCAAGTGTCGTAACCAGAGGCGTCATTCCCATTCCCCCTCAGATTTTCGAGTCAAGTGGATTTGGAATGCAGCTTCCAAAAGACAAATATAGAAGAATAATATTTTTTATAATTGATACAATCACACGGGTGTGATGTGCGGTGCGGCACATCACTAGCTGCTAAATTCAAATCTGCTTTCGCTGGCTGGCGCTGAGCCAGAGACAGGCGCGTTTTACAGCGCTGCGCATTATAACCAATCACACAGGAGTCTGTTGAGTTTATGAATGCAAAGGCCAATCAGAGGCGTTCAATGAGTCATCGATGAAACGCGGTATTTTGTTCCCTGCGCGCGTCGCTGACTGAATTCTGCTCTCTGGCGAATTAATTCTCTCATCAGAAACAATGAAGTGTAGATGAGCGAACGATATAAGTAAGATATGCATTTCACAGTGTAAACAGCTTCAATGATTATAATAGGAGTGTTTGAGAGTGTTTGAACTCTGGCTAGACTGAAGTCAATGATAATGTTCTTTGTTCTCTTTCTGTACAATGAAAGTGCTATAATTAGTAACTTACAATGTTTTTTTTATTACATTCACATTAAATACAAAGTCAATCGTATTAAAAAATATTAATACCTCGTGCCCCCTCAAAAATAATAAGTGCATGACGCCCCTGGTCGTATCCCTTGCATTTGTTAAGCTGTAGTGATGATAGCCTAATTGTTTTACATTTACATTTACATTTAGTAATTTAGCAGACGCTTTTATCCAAAGCGACTTATAAAGTAGAAGAAATCAGACCAACGAGAGAGCAACAATATAGCATACAAGTGCTGTGACAAGTCTCAGTTAGTCTAGCACAATGCGCATAGCAAGGTGTTTTTTTTATAAACTAGACCAAAACGAATAGAATAGAATAGGTAAGTGCTATTATTAATTGGTCAGGTGATGGCGAAAAAGATGTCTTTAGATGTTTTTTGAAAATGGCTAAAGACTCAGCTGTTTGGATTGAGATAGGTCGTTCCACCAGCTAGGAACAGTCCAGGATAAGGTCCGTGAGAGTGATTTTGTGCCTCTTTGGGATGGCACCACCAGCCTTCGTTTACTTGCAGAACGGAAGCTTCTGGAGGGGGCGTAGGTCTGAATATTGTATAGGTATATTGTAGTATACCTACCAGTTTAGGTATATTGGTGCAGCGCCAAAGGTTGTCTTGTAGGCAAGCATCAGTACCTTGAATTTGATGCGAGTGGCTATTGGCAGCCAGTGCAGGCTGATGAAGAGTGGTGTGACGTGAGCTATCTTCGGCTTGTTGAAGACCACTCTGGCTGCTGCATTCTGGATCAGTTGCAGAGGCTTGATAGTACATTCAGGAAGGCCCGCCAAGAGACCATCACAATAGTCCAGTCTGGAGAGAACAAGAGTAATATTAATATATAGTGAGTGATATTAATACTCTGTTGAAATGTGATTGCACAATGATGTCCTTAGGGTATTTTGCTGTTTTTGAATAATTCATAAGTCATCTATGTCAAATCCACACACACAGAGTAAAACTTTCAGAAATAAATAAAACTAAAATCAAATTAATAAGAATAATTTTTTAAAAAATCTTACCACCTTCCGTCAAACTGCAAACAACAATCAGAGACTACACAAGTTTGATGTAAAAAAAAAAAAGTACCAAAAATTGCACAAAATCTATAGTGTAAAACAAGGTGATGTTACTCTCCTCAATTATAGAAGATCAGAGGGAAACAGAAAAAAAGCACAAATTACTTACAGCAGCATTTTTACTTGTTTATGAGCTTGACAGCCTATGGTCATCATTCGCTGATGCACTTTCTGTGTTTTTGCACCTGTGACAAGCAGTGGCGGCTCCAGGAATTTTTTTTCTTAGGTGCTAAGGAGGGGGTGCTAAAAAACTAATTAAATTGAGTGAAAGTAATGAACTATAAGTCTATAAGCTTCAGCTATCTAAATAGCATGCAAATTCAGCCACCTTGTGTTTTTTATGTACAGCAGCTTCGAAAAAGGCTAATTTAAATTTTTTTCTGTAGTATTAAACTTCTCATATGCCACTGTTATTAGTAATATATCTTCTAATGCCAACTGACAAATATGACACTTACAAATTAATAAAATTTATGAACGCACATAGAAAAGAAAGTAGGGATTTTTTTTTCTTTTTTCGTTGTTTTATTTTATTTTTATTTATTTTATTTTTTTACATTATCTATTTAGTCATTTTTTCTGGCCATCAAGTGTCAGTCACTCTCAATGCCAACTGGCAGGAAAAAATGTTTTATCTATTGTAAAACATTCTAACCATGTTTTACAATAGATAAAGTGCCGACAATTCATACTATAGTATGTATAGTAGTATGGTAGTTTCGTCTCTCGTTGTCTCAGAGAATATGCGCCGTTAATGCAGCGTTAGAAAGCTCCATCAGTTTTTATAACTTTCACTTTCTCTATAGTGAATTGACTGACGTTCACCAGCATAACTCTTGCTTTGACAAGAGTGTTGCTTGACCCCTCCCCCATAATATCAATTGTTTATAGGCCACATATTAGGCACTTTTTTTTTTGTTTTTTAATGTTTATTTTTCAATGTCAATGAAAGTGACACCAAAAAATAGGAACATCATTAGGAAATCCTTGGGGGGGCGGTGCCGGTGCTAAGCAAGTTTCTGATGGGGCTATAGCCCCGTCAAGCCCCGCCCTAGCGCCGCCACTGGTGACAAATGCCACAAGTAGTGCTGAAAAACAGGTGTTATGAGGTGTTATGATCGTAAGTTGTGGCACAGGTGTAACTTTATCTTTAGACAGGATGATTTATCTTGGCTCAGACACGTTTGGTTTTTTTCTCTTTCTTTTGGTATTCAGAATATACTGTGTACCGTGACTCTTGAAACGGTTTTGTCATAAAATTAATTTTGTTCATCTGTAGACACGAGTTCAATGTATATATAAGTCACACAATAATGTGTTTGATATACATCTGTTATCATTCTGAACCTGTCAGTCGGGTCAAATTGTGTAATATTTACAGCTGTAACCAAGACTGTGTGAACTTAAAGTCTGTTCGTTTTGTTTTATTTTAAAGATTACCGAGCAACAATGGGCCTCTGTGTTTCGCCAGTCTGGGTGATTTGTCCCATGTACGTGTTCTATGAAGTTGTCTTTATCATCCATTTATCATCTGCAATATCAGGGTATAACCTCTAGATGGCTGTATAGCCCTATATACTGTATAAATACATATAAACTGTTTGCTGCAGAGTGAGAACTTTAAGGTGCTGTTTGTAAGTTTTTGACTCTACTAAAGCATAAAAATATCATAATATGTTTGCAGATATTTAAGAAACATGCTAAGTTAACATACTTGTTTATCTGGAAAACAATGCTACAGTCAGTTATTCTCCTTTGAAAATGTGCGTAACGTGCTTTACGTTTAAGACATAAAGCACGTTATTTGTATCAGGTTATGCATTGATATATTTTCAGACATTATTAAAGACTACATTTAGTAAAAGTTTAAATTTAAATGTTGATTTGAAGTGTCAGTTATTATTATTGTAGTCAAATCTGGACAGAGAAAGCATTTTGTAGGCTACTCATACTAGCTAGGCTACAGTGTGATCAGTCACTAGGGTTGCCACCCGTCCCGTTTTTAAAGATAAAATGATGTGTCCCGTCCCGTATTTTACAAAGGCCAACACATAGTTGATTCAACAAATAGGTATTGTGCACTGTTTATAATACTAATCGCAATTATAATGAAATCTATTTCATAAGAAGTATTAGGCCCCGATCACACGATCGCGTTTTTTAGGTCTGAAAATGCAAGGCGCACCGCACTGCCTTTTTTTGGTGACTATTAAAAAAAATAGCAGTGTGCTGCGTTTTTTTATGTTGCTAGGAAACCACCAAATCAGCTGTCCTGTCAGTCTAATCAAAGGATTATAGCGCGAGCGCTCTAAAATCTTTGGTTTTTGCTGTTAAGGAAACTGTCATATTAGCAGAAACCTTAAAAAATACAGCTCGGGGTAACCCGCGACAGACACCAAAAGTTACTCCTCCATTGCGGTTTCCGGTCTTTCTAAGCAACGGTAAACTTTCGTCACCACAACGGAAGGCCTGCCTCTCCATTCATTCGATTGGACAATGGAAAAAAACGCGAATGACGTCGAGCGCTTTTTCTGCTCAGAGTTGCTTTTATTTTCAACTTCAGGCGCTCAGAGCGCTCCTGCAAAATGCGAGGCGCAGCAGGTGACGAAAACGCGAGGCGCACAGGGCACATAAACAGCGCACAG